GTTACAATTGTCGTGTTACTTAACTACCCTCAAATCGTTGGAAACTGTTTTCCTGAATCATCATGAAAACGCTGGTGCAAGCAGCTAATGGAGGCCAAAACTAGGCAAGCATTTGAGGGCTACTCGTACTGTAGGTGAAGACAAGGAACTTGCACACACAAATGAAGGTGACGAAATTCTAGATACCTTACAAGAAGAATTGAGACATTCAGTAAAACAGTCGGAGCAAGGAAAAGCTCTTGCGAAGACGGCATTACAGTGGAGCTCTTGGAATCAGGAGATGAAGCACCGAACAAGAAATTACCGCGTTCGTTTTCACACTGCCTGAAAACTCCAAACCATTGGACTACCAAATTGGTAGTTCCGTTCTACTAACAGACAGAGAGAATTTAAAGAACTAAGGACTGATCAGTTTCTCGGAATTAGTGTGATTAATCGTCTTCAAATGGTACAGGTGATTCACAAGCAACTAATTGCGGCCTGCTCTATGCCTGAGGTTCGTCAATTTCAAGAAGGCTTTTGACTGTTACTGAATTTTTTGAGGAATCAGGGAATTAAGAAAAGATACAGACCCCTCATCGCAATGATTTACAGGAATGCAACTGTTAGTTTTAAGCTTCATGAAACAGAAGGCAAGTTCAAAATTAAAAAAATTGACGTTAAAAAACGATATCGCTGAAGTTATTCACAGCGGCCCTAAACGAGGTTTCTACGACACACCGTTGGGAAAATCAAGGCTTAGCTAAATTTAGCACAACTTGAGCCATCTGCCATTTGCGAACAATATTTTGATTTTCCGAAGCTCATCAGAAGCACTACAAAGAAGAATCCAAAAGCTGAACGAAGTTAACACCAGAGTATTACTGAAAATGAGGTTGAGTAGACTTGGGCCATGTTTAACAGGTATTTAGCCGTGTGACCTCTCCAAGTCAGCGGACCTAAGCGTGAAGAAGTTCAAAATTAAGTCTCTCTGGACGGTTGATCGCTGCAATCAAGAATTTACTATGTAAAATCAGCAGAAAAATACAAATTCCACGGAACACTTTTGGAAGATTGAAAATGTTTCTATTCTGGAAGCTCTGTGTTTACACTTGAAAAGGCAGGTCTCCGTTCAGTGTGTTCTTCAAGAGCTAACTTGTGGGTGAGAAACGTAAGTTCTAAGCCTCAGAGCCATTCATAAACCGCAGACGACGTAGGTACATCATAGAAAAATGTATGTTAGGAACAACGATAAATGTTAGGAAAACGAATGAATGCATAATAGCACAGACATGATGCAATTGTGCGAGTAAAAAAATTAATGTGACGATGGAAATGACACGTTGCAAAAGGAGCCGACCACCGCTGCACTAGAGAGACACCGTAATAAGTTCCAAAAGAGAGTAAATGACCCCACAGAATTACCTCCAGATTGATGGGCTGAAGAAGTACTCTGCATCAAGCTGGATGGAAATGTCAAAAAACAGAGTCTTTGGCGAAGTCTTGAAGAAGCCTTCATCCAGCAGTGAATCGACTAAGGCTGATAATGACTTGTACTTGACTAAATTACTGTTTTCATAAAACAATGCCGACGACTTCATTTGCCTTTGGTCCCATTTATTTGACTTGATAGCTAGGTTTCATGCGGTAGATTTATTATATGGAATTCATGAAGATGTCATAGAGAACCTGAACGGCCATGTCTATTCTGAAAGACATATCAGTGGTTGGCTCAATGTCAGCTGCGTAGTTTGCTATGGAGAGGTAGTCTCGCGTCTGCCATTAGCACTGTTCCTGACTCTTCACAAAAGCAAAGCTGAACTGAGCAAAGACGATGTCTCTTCTAAGGTAGCTGACAAAATGACTTGCTCATCTGAAGCACGGAGATGATATACTCTTGATGCGCAGGAGGGGAACGGCCTTCGCCACGTCCTATTCTCGGTATGGAACACAGATGTGAAAGTCGCTTCGTTCCTCCATGACCAGGAGTCAAACCAATTGTTATAAGAAATCTATCCAGAATAACATATCCACAGGTCAATCAGGAATGACAT